AGATGATTGTGTCACAATCTGAAGCGATTAAAAAAAACAACAAATTGCACCATGATGGTTTTACTGAGGCAGCTGTTTATGCACCCTCAGGATAAACGCTGTGAAACGGCTAAACTTCAGCTATAGTTGCAGTTTCACAGAGTACCTCTGCATTTTATCTTCACAGTTATTAATGATAACACTGTATTATGATAAAATCATCGCAGGCCCCAGCAGCAATTGAGCAATAAGCATTTTATTAAAGCTTTTTCGCTCATTACCTCATTAAAATTTGTGATCAGATGGCACTGTCGCATAAATCCCTCATCCCCGCGAGCTGTAATTAGGTGTGACTACACACCCCAAACACACTGCATCAGTGTACAAATCATTGCTATTACAGCAGTGATGGAAAACACCAGTGTGTTTGTTCTTTTAAGGGCATGCAAAAAGCCAGGAACTATCAACCAATTAGAAATAAGAACACTAACTCTACATTTCTCCCTTGAGAAGAAAGCTGCACGTTGTATCTTCCAGCCCCACAAAGGTTGACTGTTTCCAGTGCTTTCTTTTAAAGTTATAAAATTCAAAAGTCTGATATAAATATATTGGCTTTTATTTTTTACACAGACATATTCTGTATATATATATATTCCAGTGATACTGTAATCCACTTCAAGACAGTCATCTATGACACCGTATCTGTGTGACTTAACAAGAAGAACTATACTTAAAGAAGTAAAGAGTTTGTTCTTCTTCAGTGTCAGCTCATTAAGCTCATTTTAAGCTCTTCAGTTGATAACTGCCACCACAAAGACTGAAGTAGTGTCTGCTATAATGAATACATATATTGATATCTGAAACCAGTACATCAATAAATGTACTACAAGAAAACGGTATACGATATATGAAAATATCGATATTTTGCCCCACCTCACATGGTAGCAGCTCAATGCATTTAGACATGTAGACAAGATCAAGACAACCTGCTGAAGTTCAAACCGAGCATCGGGAGGAAAGGGGATTTAAGTGACTTTGAATGTGGCATGGTATTGATGCCAGACCAGCTGGCTCGAGTATTTCAGAAACTGCTGATCTACTGGGAATATCCCAGCACAACAATCTCTGGGGATTACAAAGAATGGCCTGAAAAACAGAAAATATCCACTGAGTGGCAGTTCTCTGTGTGAAAATGTGTTGTTGATAACAGAGATCAGAGGAGAATGGCCAGACTGCTTTGAACGCATAACACGTCAAACCTTGAAGCAGATGGAAAACAACAAGAGAAAAAAAACACATGATCCTGTCAGCTAAAAACAGGGAACTTGGGCTACAATTTACAAACGCCTGCCAACAGAAGATAAATGCTGTCTGGTCTAATGAGTAGGCTCAGAATTTGGTGTAGAAAACATGAATGCATGAATCTGTGCCTCGAGTCCATGATTCAGGCTGATGGTGGTGGCGGTGTAATGTTGTGACCGGATATTTTCGGTCACAAATGAGCATAATTTAAGCACCACGGAGATTTGCATCATGCATGTGTAGCTAACTGTCTGACCTGTGTGTATACAGTAAGTTTGAGATTGAAAAGGGAAGATTATGGCTCATTGTTTCTTAACTATCAAGCAATCAAAACACACAGCCTGACTCCGCTCCATCAGTCACGATGCTATTCTGCTACATGTGCCTTGACCGTGCTAAGGGTATTGTCAAGTCAAGGCTAGTTGCTTTTATTTAATTAGCACATTTAAAAGCAGCGGGAGCTGCTTTCAAGTCGCTGTGGTAGAATAAAATATACAGTGACAACACTAAGTGGGAAGTGACAAAGGCAATGATAAACACGCATCATCAAGACAGCAAAAAAATAAAAGATGTATTAAGAAAATAAGTTCAATACAAACCATGCAATTATTTGATTGCATGGTTTGTATTGAACTTATTTTCTTAATAATCTGTAAATTATCCAAAGATGATTTTTTTACATTTTGTGGAATAAAAGTTTCAAATCATGCGTATCAAACAACGTGTGTGTGTGTGTGTGTGTGTGTGTGTGTGTGTGTGTAAGAGCGAGAGAGAGAGAGAGAGAGAGAAGAGAGAGATCTGTCAGTGTGTGTCAGAGGACTGACACTTCTGTCAGAAGTGTGTTTTGACTTGATTACACACACATTACAGACTGTTTGTGCAACCAAGACAGTAGATCCAGACAGACAGGCTGGCTAATAAGGACTCACCATGGTCTTGAGGAGAGGACAGTGATGCAGTGATGATGAATCCTTCCACCCTGACGAAAAGGGAATTTACATTCTTTGCCCGTGGTGGTAACAACTGCAGAGGAGGTAAAGGGGAAAACACAAAACATTAGCAGCAGAAACTGTCTTGGAAACCCCGACCCACCCACTCTCTCGCTGGTTTTCACACACAAAGACCCCTTTCACTTCAAATGAATGTACAAAAATCCATAAGCAAGCTACACCCCCTCCCCTACAGGTAACACCTATGCAAACATCAGCTCACTCGGGACTTAAGAGTGCAGCAGCACCAACTAAGTATAATAATAATAATAATAATAATAATAATAATAATAATAATAATAATAATAATAATAATAATAATAATAATATAGAAAAAATGATTTTAGGACCAGAGTAAAAACAAACAAACAATAACAAAAAGAAACTCGCCTGTATGGCTCTCCCTCACCGCCTCTGCTTCATATGTAGGTGCTAATGTGTGCTGAAATCAAGGGAGAGACATTATTTCACTCCTTTCACGCTCTCAAAAACACGCAATAACAATAAGCACAGACTCACTTGAGTAGAGAAGTGTGGCTAAAACTTACCACTCCTGCGAAAACGCACGAGAGAAAAAGCATCACGGCGTGTGCCATCGCGAAAGTTTGCATCTGATGTTTCCCTGGTGTCCCGAGAAGCTTATTTCCCGTGTGCCTGTCACGTAATATCTGTCAGTGTCAGAGTCCTCAGCCCGTTTTTGGTCATAGGAAACGTGGGAAATCCTGCAAGTATTATCCTGTCCCTCACAAGTTGAAGCTGTATTGAGTAAACCCGTTGCGTCATTAGGCTTGTCTGACGCTGAGGCATCCTGTATCCCGGCTGGTGTTCCCCCAGCTCCCCCTCTGCGCTCGCCCACGGTTTATCATTACGACTTATCGACTCACGAAAGAAACAAGATGTTTCTTGAGGCAGAGGCAGGCAGAGAGGTAATACCGCTCAATCCTTACCCCTTTTAGGTTTAACACTGCTTTCTCCTAAAGTCGCCCAATTTTAGCTTTTCTTTCACCTGTGGTGTAGGTGTGCGTCGTTTCTGTACTTAACAGAGATTTTGCTTCATATCGACGCGAGATATGACAGCATCACACGGTACCTGCAGGTTTGTCGGTTGCACATCCGCGATGCCAATCTTCCGTGCTACCACAATAGAGAACAAAGATGCACTATTGGATTGGGATCTGATGACTGTGGAGGCCATTTGAGTTAGTGAACTCGTGTTTAAAAAAACAGTTTGAGATGATCTGAACTTTGTGACACGACACATTATCAGCCAATAGGAGATGGGCATACTGTGGTCATAGAGAGCAACAATACTCAGGTAGGCTGTGGTGTCTCAATGGTGCTCACTAAGTGGTGCAGTCTGTACCACTGATACAATTCGGGATTGATTTCATGTTTACGCCAGATACGGATCCTACCAACTGAATGTCGCAGCAGAAACTAAGACTCATCAGACGAGACAACATGTTTCCAATCTTCTGTTGTCCCAATAGTTGTGGTGAGATATTGTTTGCAGTATCACTTTCCTGTTGGCAGTTCCTTAGTTGACAGTGCGGTCTTCTGCTGCTATAGGCCATCTGCTTCAAGGCTGGAAGTGTTGTTGAAGATGCTCTTCTGCATACCTTGGTTGTAATGAGTGGTTATCCACCTGGACCAGTCTGGCTATTCTCCAGACATTTCCACCAGAGACCCGTCACTTACAAATATTTCCTCTTTTCAGACCGTTCTCTATGAACCATAGCGAGTGCAGGAACACATCGGCCGTTTCTGAAATACTCAGCTCCACTCATCTGACATCAACAACCATGGAAGTCCCTAAATCAATTTTCTTCTTCATTCTGATACTCAGATTAAACTTCAGCAAGTCATCCTGACCATGTCAGTCTAATAAATTCACTGAGTTGCTGTGGTGTGATTGGAATTATCTCAGTTTTGCTAATCATTTCATACAATTAGACACCTTAGACCATTTGGGGATACAAGGACAAAGAAGTAAGGCGCATTTACCTTTAATGTGCATTTTCAAGCATTATTGCTCCTGTCAGCTCTCCCTTCATTCAGTTTGCAGTTCTCTTCAGGTAATCTGTCATCTAGAAGGTTTCTGTCCTGAAATGTACACAATGAGTTTTCTAAATCTGGAGTTGAAGGTTGCAAAATACAAGTGAAATAAGTGTGTGTGACTATGAAAAGTAGTGTCTTTCACAGGTGTTATGCTCAATAACATCTCAAGATAAGGAAATGTCTAATCGGGAAGATAATTTGGGACCTCAAAGGAATTGTTGTTCCTAAGAAGAACTCATTAATGAAAATACCTCTGAAATCAGGTAAAGCATGGAAGTCAACTATCTATGAGTTTCATATCTTGTCAGCATTCCAGCAGTGACATGCTGTATCAAGTCAAAGTCCCCAGTCATGCAATCTAACCTCTAATTTTCACCAGCTGTAATAATCTTCCTCCAGATGTTGGGCTAAAAATACAAAGAAGAGGCTGGGCCTCTAAATAGCACACAAGTAGCAAGTGAAGGTGGACTTTCCAGATGGGAAATCGTTCAGCCCTGAAGACTACGTTGTTAATTATTGACAGCTCTAACTAACTTAGCAAACACATCGAGCTGGTCAAATATACCAAGTATGAAATGAAGACTTTGCATTAGATACAACAACAAAGAAACATTTGAAGTATTCCCCCCTCGTTTACACGATGAAAGCACAAAAGCAAAGACACACAGTTGGTTGAAAGTAGAGCCATCGAAGCCTTTTAATTGTTCAACAATTAGGACAACCTCACAACCACAGAAGCAGAAAGTACAGACGATAGAGGTACTGTTATGTGTCATCTGTACAACACAGGAAGACAATATGAACAAGAAATAGTCAAATATCTAAGAGTCCTCTCCTAGCATGTGGTCCTACTTTCTAATCAGGACACGTAAAACAAAAGTCAAGCTTTACTTTCTAGATTTTTAAATTATCATTGCTATTTCAATTGCATCTCACAACTTTTCTCAGCGCAAGACTAGCAGAAAAAGGTAATGGGTGGACAGTTAATTGGGACTTTAATGTAAAATTCAATATACCCAAACAGCTTAACAGCTTATTAAATCATTTGGTGATGGTTTCGAAATTGTTATCAAGAACCTGAACAAGCGTTTTCCTGAGCTTTAACCTTTTGGTTTCCACCACCAGAAGGCTGCCGGTTATTACATTGTTTTTTTGTTTAGAAGATGTTAAGCAGCTTCTTATCAAGCAGTGTCCTGTTTCTCAGTCATTTCCACTTTTTAAATTGTGTACAATTATTATCAACTGGTACCCCAAAGTGAGTTTCAGGCTTCTTCTGTGGTATTATTATTTAGCCTAACATGGCTCAAAATAGTTAATTATCAAAGCATACCAATAACAAAACATATCACTGTCCCAAAATTACAACCGGTACTAGAAGTCAACAGGATGCCTGAACTTTTTTTAAACAAATATACAATATCCATCACCATAATATTGATGCTTTAGTAAAGAAAACTGACAACTTGTACATGCAGCACATTGTTCGACTACATCTCCTCGAACAACAGTCGCTCAGGCTTTAAAAGTGCAGCAGTGGGGATGGGGGGGAGGGGGGGGGGTCCCTTTAGACGATGGTGGCCTTGTAAAGATCTGTGTTGCAGTCCTGGCCCTCCGGTGGGTTGCGGCCGTTCTGGGGCATCTGGGCGTTTCTCATTTTGCTCTGGCACTGTCGCAGCTCGGCGACATAGCCCTGAAAACTCAGACTCAACTCAGAGTCCTCACCCTGGGATGTCTCCGCTGTTCCTTCTTCTAGATGTACTCCCTCCACATCCATCACCTCCTGAATGGTATGTGCAGCGTTGGCTTTTTTAGGAGGTGACTTGGCATTAGGGATCGTTTCTGTCGCCTCTGTGCAAGGGAGAGAAAAACAAAGCAAAACATGGAAGATATAAGATAAATTGATTTATAATGGACATCCAAGAGATACTTGGATATTGCAGATGATGGGTGGGATGGCCCATTCTGCATTCAAATTATATAACATCGTAAGGAACCATTCACTGTACTTTAAAGGGCTGTCCACCCAGGAAGTTACAAGCACCAACATGGCAACCACAGACCACCAAAAGTGACATTCAGTAACTGTAAGCGACAGAGAGCAAAATTTCTGCTAGTGAATGCAAAAAGTAGGTAGATGCCAAGTTAAACCTTTCTCAACTTTGAGGTGTGAGATTACCAATAAGAATGAAGGACAAGCAACCAAAGCCTGGAATGTCCACTAGTGATCACCCGTCAACTAAAAAGCAGCCAATAGGCAAATTGCTTCTAGTGTGAGCGCCCATGTCCACCAAGTCCACCAAGAAAAGATCCTGGGGAATAGTTTTCTAACGTTATATGCAGGATGATGTTGGGAAATAAATAAGTTTTCTTTTATTTATTTATTTGGCAAAGGTTTTGCAATTGGCAAAAAAATAAAAATAAAAAAATAAAAAAAGCTGAGACCCAACAGCCAAGTAATCATACTTCTTTGAAGTCCACTGCCTCAGGCGTACGTGTAGTTAGCAGTAGATGGATGAGCCACAACAAAAAAAAATAAAATAAAATAAAATAAAAAGGGAGACACATGGATGTCCACACGGACCATCACTCTGTCTGATCCAAGCAGAAGGTATAATCACGCTTGAGAAATCCTACTACTCTGTAAGCTACACCCTCTTTCTGAAGTCAATGCAGGAAGTGCTAAAAAACCGCAGTTCCATTAATGGCCACTTGGAGCTGACTCCGATCCCCAGAGACTGCCATGTTAAACAATTTGGTCTCAGCTAATTTCTTCTTCCTGACAGCATTTCATTTTGTTTTTTTGTTTTTTTGACAAATAATGTACAAACAGCCGGCCTGAAAACACTGCACTCCATTTTCGGTGGGTAAATTTCAAGTATTAACTTATATGTTAGCACTAATTAGCAGCTATCTAATTAGCGCGATGTGCAGCCACACATTTTGTGCAGTTTCGCAGCTTGACAACCATGCTTGCCGGTGTTAATCAATATTCAATTACTTGATAATTTGTTTTGTCTGGGTAGCTACTTCCATCTTTTTGTTACAGTCCGTTTACACCGGGCTCAGTGCAGCTCCTCTTACCTTCTACTTTATATGTTGATCTGTTGTTTAACAGAAACACTGAGTGCAGCTTTAGATAATCAATGTGGTTTCCAAAAATGTTCATTTACACAGGAGTGACTGCACAGATGTGCAAAACTATTCATTCTTGGCCTTCACATCTCTTTTACCTCTTATTACACTGGCTGACGGCCAGATGTTTAGCACGGCAATGCCAGATTTCAAAAGCACTCAAGCAAAATCTGTCACACCGTGCGAGTGCACATTTTAACTCCACTTTGCTTGATTTTAAGTTGAATAGTGGGCTTGTTTTTTTATATTTTAAGCATTCTATAGTTGTGTAATCATCCCAGCTGTTGTCATGATAGACTTGATGACATAACCACTTCTGCTTAAACTTGCTCAACTTTATAGCTGGTTCGTCAGAAAGATCGGACTAAAAACTGACAGGATTATATGCTGTACAGTAATTCAGTGCAATAAAATCTGATGTGACACATCTGAACATTACTGTCTTTATTTCCTTTAACCCCAGAGATGCATGACTTCATCGCAAGACCCCTACAGGATAATAAATAAAACATGCTCAAACTTCCCCTCTCTTCGTTAATGCAAGTGCACTCAAGAAGCCACAAAGCCAGCGTTTCTTTTTGATGCTGGTGTTACAGCTATGGGTGATAAACTTTCCACATCTCATGTGAACCATGTGGCCTCCAGAGACTGTAAACACACGGACATAAGCACTACACTTCAACACACAGATGCTCTGAACTCGACTGGCTGTTATTCGTTGCTGTCCGATATATATGTAAACACTGTCAGTGAGCTCCAACAGCTGACCTTATGTAGACCCAGCAAACCTATCTATCCTGCAACAGCTTGAACAATCATACTTGGGGGGTGAGGGAGAAAACCTATAAGTACTTTTCCGGTTGTGTAATAGTTTCCAGCACTCGCGTTTGCTGCTTTTACCTCATTTTGCTTACAAAGCATTTCTAGTGTTACTTGAATTTTGCTTTGCTTGCTAATAGGGCAATACAAGTGGATTATGTTCAGGCCAATTATTAAATAATAGTTAATGGCTATTTTACGCAATCTATAGAATGTGAGAGAAAATAGTGAAGACATGGGTTTTCACAAACCCTACCTTTAATTAAAGTCTTATTCTGTTGGTACAAAATAATTTGGGGGTAATTCAGTCCACAATCATAGAAGAGCAACGCAGCAAACCCTCACACCTACAGATAAAGTTTAGCCTGGCTGGAACAATTAATCAACTATAAAAATTAATTCATGTCAAAAGAATAATGAAGTCGCAGTTTGTTTTAGCTCTAGTCACAAACTAGAAAATTTGGGAAAGGCTTCTCTGTTCTCAGCCCCCACTCCCACAGTGAGGTTGTTAATATCGCAGTTCGTTAAAGACCACTGACTGAGCCACCTGGCTTTGTTCTGATATGGTAAACCTTTTAATATTACTCACAATAAACCTACAAGATAGGGTTTAAATATGGTTTTTGCTTATAACATAAGCTTTACTTTGCTTAGTCATGGGAGATCAAACTCATGTAGCCATTACTCAAATGTAATTTCTGGACCTGGTGTGTGCACTTCTACCATTTACACATACACGCTTCTCATGCATGGATTCAGTGGTGTGCTTGCTGATTGGTCTGCACCATGTGATAATGAGGCACAACTGTTTAACATGGCCATTCCTCTTGTGGCAACTCCTTTCAGCAGCCATGGCGGCAGCAGGACGCTGAGCTCGAGCAGCCAGAATAGAACGGAACCAGCTCCAGTCCTCACTTAGTCTCCCTGCAAAAGATCCACATCAAGCCCTCCTCTGACTGCCAGATGGATGCTAAGGCAGGCCCGGGGATCAGCAGCTGTCTGCTTCGAGGACAGAAGATGAAGAAACGGGTGAAGCGGGCTTGAAGGACAGCTCAGTGGCATGGTGCCTCAGGTGCAGGCAGCTGAAATCGAGTCATTACAAAGCACTTTGTAATGCCCTGAGATAGAGTCTCAATTACCCCAAGGAATCCTTTAATCTTCCCTCAGCATGAGTGTATAAGAAGAAAAAGAAAACTCAGGACAAACAAGCTCTTGTCGTGAACTTGCTGAATTATTCACTTCTGTAATTTATTGCTTAGTATTCAGACAAAGATGGCCGCCTGTTCTTGTTTATGAAGAGGGCAGCATTATTGTTGACTTAACTAAACACACTTTAAATTGAGTCTGAATCAGTGCTGTGTAGAGATACACTGTGTAATGTCGCCCCCTAGTGGGCATTCTATTCCCCACAGAGCCGTGGAGTAAGAGGGAGCATCAAGTTCAGCCCTGGTTCTCCTTTCTGGTTTTGTCTTTTATAGTTTAATTAGGGCTTTAATTTAGACCGATGTGCCCATTAAAGGTACTAAAAGCTTCAGATCACTGAAGAACTTTAGCCTTCTTTTGGATTCAAACCATATGCAGTTCAAGATATTTGTGTAACTGTCATGTGTGCACACTGGTGACTTTCCAGTAGAATTAGAGGAAATGTGAAAAATGGTACCGCGTGATGCACTTCTTCTGCTGTAGAAAGGATGCCTTTGACTTTCTGCATGGCATTAAAATGAGATCCATGTCGAGCTACCAAAGCAGCAATTACTGTATTCTTATTCTCTCGGAACAGCAGAGGGCGTCAGTCTAACAGTAATACAGAAAGCGAGGAGACATCTCTGCAGTGCCTGAAGTCAGCAGGATGACAGATAAAAGAAGAGGAACGCTGCTACTGCACAACATTGGCTTCGCTGCAGTTGGAATTAAAGATGCAACTGTACTCTGTGGGTGGTTTACTTTGTCTTAAACTAAAGAAAGCCAGCGAGCTTAACTTTCCACCCAAACTCAAATGTAACAACTTCATAAAGTCCAAAAAGTGAGAAAGTGAGAAAGTGGAGGCGTTTTAGCTCGCTGTACAGATCCCAGCACAGCCTCGGTGATACCAAGGTGGCAAACTGCGCTAAAAGCGTGGCCATACCGAATCACTGCTCTGCTCCCGTTTTAGCAAGCGAGAGAAAAGAGAAACGGAGAGAAAGAGGCAGGGAGATAGATGAAAACCAGTAGTGACAGTTTCTATCTGTAGCTCAGACAACTCGTGGATAAGGTTACCATGGCGCCCGGTGGTGGGAAGAATCAGCCTGATGTGCTTAGCAACCAGAAAAGAGGAATGAGGCTGTATGAAAGCTGAAAAAGCTTCGATTTATCCTCCTCGTCTTGTGTGTGTAAGCCCTGCTTTGCATTAAAAGCGTAGATATGAAGACAAGGCAATAAGGTCATGTTTGTGCCCCTTTAAAAAAGTGCTTTGAGGTGCATCAAAAAGAGCAGCCGGAGCTGCTCTGTAGCTGGAACACAGGAGTGTGGTTATCTTCTTTTCTGACGACTTCACAGCGTGTCAGGAAAGGCTTCAACTCGAAGCCGCGATCATCACATGTAGGATATCAAAGCAACACTGTCACAGATCAAATCACTACTTCACTTCACATAGCATCACAGACAACACACACATATGCACGGAGGAGCGGGAAAAAAAAAAACACATAAAGGCGGGAAATGTGTGCGAGAGATGGCCATGCACTCAGAGCACGATGAACCAATGCCGAGGCAAAGCTTTGCAAACCCAATGCGAAACCCACACACACACGCGCGCGAACAGCAGTGGCTCAATTTAAAGAAATAAAAGCAATATGTGTTATGTCATCAACAACAGCAACAACAAGAAGCAGGTCGGCTGAGCAACGACACCGAATAAACACACACCGAGAGATCTTAGGAGTAAAAAAAATAAAGACACCCAGCGAGCAGTGACACTGTGAAATGAGCGCGCACGAGGAAGGACACGGAGGAGTGGGAGCTGATGAGAGGAGGAAGCCACTAGACAAGAACAACAACAAAAAACAGAAAAAGAAAAAACAAATTAAACAAAAAAAAAGCTAAGAGAGAACGGAAGGAGGCATGTGGAGGTGGAGAGGACAAGCGGCGGGTGGCGGGGAGAGAGGGGAGGAGTGGGGGGGAGGGACTGATCTGACAAACGTGTAAAAAGACAGACGAGAGTGATTTCCAATTCTAACATTTATTAGATCTATTCAATCACAGGTACAGAGATTATTGGCAGTGATTATCTACAAACAGGCACCTAGAGAGCGAATGAGCCTGGTAAAGAATGACAGGCACTTCAACAATGTCACCAGCGCCAAGGAGCACTTGTCCTCCAATGACTAATAATTTTTCACCGTTGCTCAAACTGCTACAGCATGAGCTGTTTAATGGCTCACCGGATTTGTAGCATTGCGTAAAAAGAGAATGAAAAAAAATCTAGCTTTTTGACACGGACATTGTTGAATTGCTCTTAACTAGAGGAGGTGGGATGGATAGGGATACAGCATTTATATGTACCGACTGTTAGGTATTTGCAGGTCCAACACTGTGCAGCAGTCTGGCTCAATTTTCTTTTTTTTGTACATGAAAGCTGATCTTTTTTTTCTCCTCTGATTTCTAATCTTCGGTACAACATCTAGCGTCCACATAACTGTCAAATATTGATCATTAATCTCTACGCATTGTGTATATTTCATTGATATTCAACAGATCTGCAATCAGTCACATTTTGCATGCACCCAAAAGGACAAAATATATCACTGGAAATCCGCTTATGTCAGTCACATGTTCAACTCAACAATTTGTGGCGAGGGAGGTGATGTACAAGTAAACGTTACTCACGGAACAAAATACACAGGCCGTTATTTACAGATCAATTTTGAGTAGTGTAATCATCATGATCAATCACACACATGCTTTGCTGAGCTTGATAAAGACGAATCAGGCAAACTGAGAAAGAGTCGATATCAATTTGTCATTAAAGTGCATCAGAGTCAGTGTAGAGGGAGTTTTATTGTCAAAGTGGTCCTGTTCCTGACCACACACATGCATGTACAACACACACACGCACAAGCACACACGCAAACACACCGAGTGTTAGGTTGTTACACTGTAGAAATACCTGAACTGGACTTTCCCTCTTCACCCGTGTCTTTAGCCTGGGAGCAGGGCGGTGGTGGGGTGAAGTTGGCTGCCGGCAGGCTGCTATCGAAGGACAACACAGGGGATGGTGAAGGAGGCAGCAGGGTGGGGCTGCTGATGTCGCCTTCACCGATGAGAGTCAGGTCGGTGTTGGCGTCCTCCTCCACGGTGCGGAGGGTTGGACGGGTGTCTGAGGGCCGGAGGATGGGGGACATGTGAGTGCCGAAGGTTGGGTGGCGTGGAGGGGGCATGAGGCACCGCCTGGAGTGTCCGTTCGCACTGGAGCTAAGAGAGGAGTCGAGGCTCTCCGAGCGTAGGCTGGAAGTGAGGGGGCTCCGGGAGGGAATGCCATTCTCTCGAACCGGTTTCAGGGAGTTGGGGGTGGAGCAGGCCAGGTCGGAGGACACGGAGACAGAGGAAGTGGGCGGAGTCAGTCGCAGGAAGTCGGGAAGCACTAGGTCGTCTTTGTTCAGGAGACCACGCTGGTCGTTGGCTCGGGTGCTCTGCGCCCGGCTCAGCAGCTCAAAGAATTCTGGAAAACATTTCAAGCACATTTCCTCACTTGAAAGTTTCCACACACACGCAAGAAAAGGATTAGCTGGGTGTGACGTGCAGCAGAGCAACCTCGCTCCTCTTAAGAGAAAAGAACCCTCGTGGAACTAACAAAGACACGAGTTAGTCTTAAAGGCAAAGCAAAGCTAAGAATTCCACCACAAGTTGAAAAAAAGAAAAGAAAGAAAGACAAATAAGGAGAAAAAGGGGGATTTACCTTCAGCTTCATCTATATTAATCTTTTTCTGTTTTCTCTTATCCCTTGGGAGTGCTGAGTCTGGTCCACTTGGCCTCACAGAAAAGTCCTTTGGTGCTGACCTCTCATCTCCCTGCAGATTCAACAATAACAAGGCACTCTATTAAGGGGATGGAGGGACGATGTGGTGTGTGGGGAGGTCGTAAGGGGTGGGGTGGGATGGGGGCGAAGCTAAGCACGAGCTGCTAAGCACCCTACTGAGCAGTTTGTCCAGATTTACTGAGACCTTCAGGTAAAGATGAGCTTGGTCCATCTGTCGGCTGTGTGTCTTTAAGGACCCTGATAGAATCCAGACTAAGCAGGATCTGCCTTCATATGGTGCAATAACTCGAGCGGAGAAAACAGGAGCGAGTGAGTCAGCCATAGGCAGTGTTAGGGAGAGGAAGACCCCAAAATAACAGTAATAATAATATTATAAAAAGGAAGTAAACACCAACTGATAGCTTAGCATTGGCTCAGTGTTAATAATGTTATTAAATGATGTTGCAGAAGCAGCAGCAGAAAAAGACAAAAACACTCTTTTTATCATTGTGTGAGAATAAAGATGTGACGAGTACTCACTGTCGCAGAAAAACTCCGGGTTGGGTGATTTTTTAAGGAGGAAGACTTGGATTTGTCTATTTGAGAGAGAGAGAGAGAGAGAGAGAGAGAGAGAGAGAGAGAGAGAGAGAGAGAGAGAGAAACAGAGAGATGTGTACATGAAAAAGTCATCGGGGTGAGAAACTGATGAGGAAGAGCGTGAGACAGAGAGGGGAGGAGAGGGTGCTTGAGGCGTAATGAGAGAGACGTCTTGCAAAAACTCGTACACGTTAATCAGCAGGATGACTGAGGTGGGCGTGATTTACATTTTTCTGGTGCCTTGATGAGAAAGGACAAACCAGTTTTGTTCTCTTGTTCCATTCTACCTTTGACTGAACAGGGATCTGCTCGCTCCAGCACAACTCGCAGGCCGTCCAGACTCGATATGGGGGCACCCAGATCCAGAGGCTCAGTCTCGCCGCTCTATTATAAAATAAAATTTGAAGGTCAACATGTTAGTATCCTCACCTGTTGTGCAGAAATCTAAATACTGCTGCTGCGCGTGTTCCTTTGCTTAGTTTATAAATCACCTTTCAGCTCTGGTCTACTGTATAATACAGTTATAATGCCTGGAAACCCACAAGACTAAAATAAATCTGACAGGGGTTTAGGGGGAGGAGTAGAGTCGGCATGTTTGAGGAGTGTCGTCATTCTTAATTATAGCCCCGGTGTTTCGTCTTAGCAGGCTGGGCTGAGTCAGAGTGCTAACCACTGTGTAGAGATGGAAAAGGATGCGGTCGTTTTACCCCCTTAACCATGATACTCCACCCTGTGGCACAGTCACACACTACACAGGCTGCTGTCTGGACACACAGGAGCTTCAAAAGGATTAAGGCACTGGAGACAACTTACTATTTTGGCCACAAGATCAGCGAGGTGGAGACCATATTTGGCCACCACGGGCCGCAGGACCTCAGTGACTGGCTTGGTCGGCTTGGCTTTCAGCCCCACGGAGCGGTTAATGGGCACCAGATCCAACCTACCAGTGAGCCAAGAGCATCAAAGTAAATGTGACAGCAATGAAAGCAGAAACGCAAAATGAGAAACTGAAGGCGATTAACAGACTCAAGGGAACACTGATCGGTTGTTCATACCTAAACAATGTGCGCTTCTCCAGTCTCAGGTCTCTGGAGCTTAGTGTCATACAGTCTTGGTCCAACACTAAAGGCTAAAAGGGAAAAAAAAAA